GTGTGTGCACGTTCTGAAAATGAAGTCATACATTGACAAACTGGAAAGGATGGGGGTCATATTCCCAAAGGAGCAAGTCATTGATTTGGTTCTTCTTTCTCTTCCCAAGTCATATGGCCAGTTCATTAAGAACTTTCATATGAGGAATCTTGACGTGGTCCTAATTGATTTGACCAAGATGTTGATAGTTGCTGAAGCAGAAATGTTTAAGAACACATCTGAAGTAGAGTTTCTTAAAGGGTCTAATTCCAAGCGTTCCATGGACGTTGACAATGGTAACATTGGTGATCTAGAAAAAATATTTCTCTTCCCTATGGAAAGGGGCCATCCAAATCAAACTGTTTGATCGTATGGTAAAGAAAAAGTTCAATTTTTGGATCATTCCATGTGCTAAACCCAAAGAGTCCATTAGTTGCTACTGTCAATTGAAGGGAAAATGGTTGAGAAGCTGCTCAAAATACTTGAAGGATCTTAAAGATTGGGAAGTCAATTTGTGTGACTCTACTTTAGGTACATCCATTATCTAACTCCATGAGTTCATATTCTTAGAATCTTAATACATGATGTGATGATCACATTTTGATGGCATTTCAGGATCTAAAAGAAGGAAGGAAGCTTGAGAGAAGTAAGCTAAATTTGATCATGGGAAATGAACTTTGGTCACATGGATCGATGGTCAGAATTTTGGAGCTGCTACTAAGGAGTTAAAATAATTTAATACAAGATGTGATGGTCACATTTTGTGGTGATACCTCCACCACGTCGTGGCCAACCAAAATTCACAGTTTACTTTTTAAATTTCGCACCTCGATGATCTGGATGTTACAGATCTAGTTCTTCTTATTAACTTAATGGATAAAGTTGGATCACCACAATGCAAGATCTTAAACCCTAAGTCCTTTAAGCTCTCTAAAGGCTACATATTTGTGCATGGGCTCAATAGAACCCAAGCATGTACCTTTTTCTTACTTAGAAGAAGTCTAATAACCAAAAGAGTGTCATATCAAACTTTGTAGTTCCTCAAAATCCAAGAGCATCCATAAAAGGGACCAAAACCAACCATAATGAGCATAAACTTATATTTAGAAGAACAAAGGTCAAAGTATAAACTTTATGCCTCAAATGACTCAGAAATCTGAAGAAGATGATGGATCTAAGCTAGCTCCTTCTTTCCTTGCACTAATATGGAATCTTTTCTTCCTCAAGCTTCACCAAACCATGATAGGAAACTTAAAACTAAGCAAAAAATCTCACAACCAAGTATAGAGGCTAGGGTTTCGATTGGGGAGGATGGAGGCAGAAGAGAAAGACTGAATCTTGGAGTTAATGCCTTTAAATATAGGAGAAACCCTAGAAACTTGGGCTTGGGCTACAACAACAACCACATAGTGGTCACTAGCTTGTCTTGTCATGGTAGGCCTGAGCAGCAAGCCTAAAATCCGATTTAAGCCCAACTTCACTTTAAGCACAAAGTCTTATCACATAGCCTAAGAACCTTATTCCTTAAGGTCTAAACAACCCAAACATTCAAATAAGAATTATCTCGAAACAGGATGTTACAAGTATGATCTATAAAAGATTAACATCACAATTGGAATAAAACCATGATTTTATCCGAGAATCAATGACTGTCCAATCCTCATCATCATCGACTTGAGGTTAGGATTTACCGATATTTGACCTTGAAATTTAGCACCCTTGCACATATCTAGAAAAATAGTACGTCATAGTTTGTATTTGAAGCCATACACATACAATTTAAAGCTAAATTGTGAATAGACATTGGTGAGAACAAAAACCAACAAACTAGCAGTAGAAGTAGATGTCATGATGGGTGGTGCAAGATGACATAGTTGTCATTTGGACCTGATGAAAATCAAAAAATAAATGCAATTGTGACAAAAAATAATAAATAAGAAGCTAACAGTGAGAAGAGGGAAATTAATACGTACGTAGGGAAAGTAATACGTACGTAGTCTGATTTAGAAGAAACAACAACAACAATCTAGAAAAGGCAATGATCAACGACATCAACATATGCCAGGAACGATGGCTGTTGGTGATACTAGGACATCGTCAAATAGCAACAAGGGTTGCGATTGTGGTGGTGAGACAGTTTGGTGGAGATCACAGGCTGGGATCAGAAGCAACAAACGAGTGATCATTTTTTTTAGGATTACAGGAAAAAGTTTTAAGCACTGTGAAGCCCATGGCTTGATATCATGATAGATTATGTGGAAAACCTCTTGATTAGGGTGGCATGTGTAGATATCAATATATAGAATAATATATTACAGTTGGGTCTCTACACTATACAAATGAATATAAATTAACAACCAAAAGTGTAACATATATGTCAAACAATTTTACCTTTTTTATACGACAGATCTAATATAATTCTATACTACTCCTAAATCCACCAGACGAGACTTGAAACATTTGACCAAAGTGAAATGACAACATCTAATATTGGTGGGCTAAAAACTTTTTAATAACGGTTTCACTATTATTTATAAGATGTAATTCCTATCTTAAGACGGGACTTAAAACCTTTGACTTCAAGGAAAGATGACAACATCTAATACCATTGGGCTAAAAACTTTTTAATAACAATTTCGCTATTATTTATAACATGTAATTCCTATCTTATGATTCAACTATTGTTGGTTTATATTGTCATGTGTTCCCATGCAAGAAGATATTAGCTTACTTATGAAGTTTATTAGTACAATAGATATAATGTGTAGGTACAAGCAGTAAGGGGAAAGAAGTATCTTTGAAGACCTATTTTGTATCTTTAGATGTATTATGTAATAATATATGGCGAGGGACATACATACTACATACATCTACTCGATTTTGTCTTAGAAGTGTAAAAAATTAAATTCGTCACAAAGTCTGATAAGTGTAAATTTCAATGTAAATTCGTCGGTAAAACCATTTATTGACGGATTTTGTGATAGAAACTACCGTCGTAAATGAGTATTTTCCTAGTAATGCAACTCTTAAAAATTTTATGCAATTCCTTTTTTTTGGTCCTGCTATATCTTGTGGGATGTCCATAAAATATGACAGGTATGATAGAACTTGGATATTTTTCTGTTAATACGAACATGCCAGGGCCGTCCTTACATAGATTGAAACTAAGCCCTTGCCTAGGGCCCCCAATTCTAAGGGGCCCCATTTAACCCAAATATTAGGTGATTGTCGATTCAGATTCTCCATTCGTGTACATCAGCAGAAGTAGAACCGTAGAAACCGTTCTCGGCATAAATTGAATGCGACTGTGGAAACAATTCTTCATTCGTGCACATCAGCAGAAGTAGAACCGTAGAAACCATTCTTCATTCTCCTAAGAACCGCATAAACCACTACCAGTCTGATTCTATCGATTTTTGATTGTTCAACAATCGAAAAAAAGAGGTTAGCTCCATTGTTTATTCCTCTTTTTGAAAGACTGTCAAGTGTCAAGAACTCAACTGATTTGGTGATTCTTGAATCCTGATTCTGATCGAGTTCGGTTTTAAGTCACTCTTGAAGGATTTTTATTTTTCTTACTTACGATTTCTCCCTTGCCATCCTGTTGAAATTGGGATTGCACAATTTGAACCTCTGTAGCTTGTTTTGTTGAAATGATCTTTAGTTTAACATTTAATGCTCTGAACTTGAAAACTAATTGTTAGATGTTCCTTTTAAAGTATGAAATTGGTTGATTAAAACACAAATAAAGAATTGCCTTTGAATTTTTTTTGTTACCTATGTAGGTGAAACCAATGTTTTAAAAACCGGTTTGAACCGGTCGGTCGAACCGGGAATCGGGGCAGGGAGCGGTTCAACTATCACCAGTTTTATGTCTATTTTTGAACCGGATCGAACCGGCCGGTTTTTACAAAAATTCGGTTGAATCGGTTCAATTAAACTGGTTGAACCGGTTAAATTGAATAATAACAAATGGAATTGAAACCTTTACATAATAAACTTTGGTAGTTTTTTCACATTTATTAAAAATTTTCTGAATAAAAGCACATGATAAATGTTATGAAGTTTTTTGATACGTTTATATTCATCTACGACTTTATTTTCTTTTTTAATGCACGTGGATTGATGTAAAACTTATGGTTATGAGTTATTTTAATGTATTTAGATTGATCTACAACTTGTTTTAATGTGTATTTTAATGTTTGAACTTGTGGACATTAAAATCTTGATTTGTGAATGTATGTATGTGTAGGAAAATACAAAAAAAGATGAAAATTATAGAAACCGGTTTACTCAGCGGTCGAACCGGTTAAACCGGAAACCGGTCACCATACCGGTTCAACTAAAAAACCGGTTTTTAAAACATTGGGTGAAACAACTTATATATAGGTGTTGTGTTTAGGTTATAGAAAGAGGTCCAATTTCTATTATGCTTTCTTTAATGATATTATTGGATTTTGAAGTTAGTAATTTAAGGGTTTGTTTGTTTGTTTTGTTTTTTTTTTTAAATGTTTGTTCTAATGTAGCCAAAACACTTCATTTATGTGGACACTGTAGGATCTTGACAAGGCTGAATTCTGAAAAGTGAAAATGTATGTTCTTCTTCGGTTCTTCCTCTAATTCTCTATTTCTCCATAACTGATAACTGTCAATTACTGATTATCTATGATTGTGAATCTATGTCTTGTGATAATCTGATAATCTATGATAAATTTTATTATTTTAATGAAGTTAAATCTGTTTGATGTAGAAATCTGTTTAATTTTCTGCACATTAAGTATAGTAAAAGCTAAAGGGCCCTAAAGTTTTGGTTGGTTTCCTAAACTGGTTGAGCCGCCGTTAAAGTGTTTCAAATGACATTTTGAGGTTTATAAAAAAAAATTACAATTTTAAAAATAAAAATAAGAAAAAGAAGAGTAAATGCAAACGCACTAGGGTAGTTATATTAAATCAATTCAATACTTACCGACCTTTGAAATTTAAAAAAGTTTTTCTCCTTTGATTTCTAAACATTCTAGTCCATGGTCGGGACAATCTATTCCCCGCTCCAAGCTTTTACGAGCACAATCCAATCCAAAAGGTCTTAATGTCTAATTCATACCCATTTTTTCAATCTCACTCATCATCGAATCACGGTTTCAACGAAAACGATTTCTGATCCTCCAACAATCGCCTGATTCAATACCAGAGACTCTCCGATGGGTAATGCCGTTTAATTTCCAGCTTATTTAAATATACTATTCCAAATTTGATGCGTGTTATAATGATTAGAAAACGGAATGTTGTTAATTGTCGACAATTTTGAAATTCGAATGCTTATAGCGATGTCAATTGTTTTCTTTTCATCGTGTAATTACAAATTGATCTTGTGTTAAGTCTTCTTCTTAAGCCATAACATGCATGTAACGTTGAATCATGAAATACAGAAGCGTCTTACTTCTGTTTAGATATTTGATCGACTGGAATGATCACATTTCAGGACTAGGTAATTTTTTAATTGATGTCCCATGGGAGGTTTTGTTCCGTTTGTTCCTTTGTAATAATCGTAAGCAATAAGAGTCGGAATTTAAGCAACATGTAAAATAAAGAAAGATCATTCTTCCCTAAAAGTTGGTATAAATCTGATAATTAATACCAAAACTTATTCACGCTATGATTAAATATTGATCAAGTATGATAGGTTTCGAGTTATGTTGTCATTGATTATATAGAACTCTGGTAACGGTTGAATTGTTTGTAATCACATTTGGTATTTTAGATGATATGAAAATTCTGCTATTCCAAAGTAGCGAAATGCTTATCATGCTATATTTGTACATTTTGTCCTTCTCAGTGGATGCTGCAGCATGTTGCTCCACCCATCTCATTGATGGAGATGGTAGTTTTAACGCAACAGGACTTGACAAGTTCATGAAGGAAGTAAAACTCGGCGAATGTGGTCTTTCTTATGCGGTTGTCTCTATCATGGGCCCACAAAGTAGCGGTATAGATACCTTTTTTCAAGTGTAAAAGTCGCATTAGACAATCCATTTCAGTTGATGCAAGTTCCATCTGATGATTTCAGTGATGCTTATGTGTTTGGGACAGGGAAGAGTACACTTCTAAACCATCTATTTCATACCAACTTCAGGGAAATGGATGCATTCAAGGGAAGGCAAGTATCTATTTTGTTCATTACTTCTCTTTTATCTGTCACCAGTTTAACAAAATGACTGCATTGCCCTCCTATCAGGTCTCAAACCACCAAAGGTATTTGGATGGCTCACTGTGCTGGCATTGAACCTTGCACTATTGTAATGGATCTTGAGGGCACTGATGGAAGGGAAAGAGGAGAGGTTGTATTCTGATTTCTGAATCCTTGTTTTTTATGATTCCAGGTTTATAGTTCCTTTTAGTTGTTCACAGTTTTAAGCTTTTGAATGCAGTTTACTGTTTTATTCACTTTGGTGAAGTGTACCTTTTTCATTGCTTGCAGCTTAGTAAACTTTTGCATGTTTCAGGATGATACTGCGTTTGAAAAACAGAGTGCACTTTTTGCTCTTGCTGTTTCAGACATAGTGCTTATAAACATGTAAATGTTTCAATCTCTCTGACATACAATTTCACAAGGATTTAACAAGTTTTATAATCTATATTGCCTTCCTCTTTAAAAATATGTGTTAGGTGGTGCCATGATATTGGTCGTGAGCATGCTGCAAATAAGCCTCTGCTGAAAACTGTATTCCAGGTATGCCATTTATAGATTTTTCTTTAGTTGTTCTCATCATTGTTAACACACAACAATTTAACTTCCTATTTCCCCTTTTCAGGTCATGATGCGGTTATTTAGTCCCCGAAAAACAACTTTAATTTTTGTTATACGTGATAAAACAAGAGTAAGTGTGGTTTATCTATCTATCTATCTTACACACTGCTGTTCTAGAACGTTCAATATATATATATATATATATATATATATATATATATATATATATATATATATACGAGTTCATTATCTGATAATTCAGTTGGTAACATCCTGATGCTTATTTGATATTTTTTCCTTTTTGTTTTCATTAGACGCCTCTGGAAAATTTAGAGCCTGTCTTAAGAGAAGATATCCAGAAGGTAAACTTTGTTAAACTTATTTTTATTTGTACTAATACTCTTTTACCAAAGAATAAAAGTCTAAAATGTTCTTGATGATAGATATGGGATTCTGTTCCCAAGCCAGAAGCTCACAAAGAAACACCACTGAGTACATTTTTCAATGTAAGATACAGAACATATTACTCTTTGTTTACTTTTAACAAAAACTATTTCTCACAAGTGTCTAATTATATTAATTATTGTATTTCTTACTGATGACTTGACCAGATTCAAGTTGTTGCTCTTTCTAGTTTTGAAGAGAAGGAAGAACAATTCAAAGAGCAGGTAGAAGAAAAAGTTTTATGTATGATGTCTTATGTGGGACACATGACACATGGATACCTTAAATAACATATCATTATTATTTACTTTTTATATATTATGCAAGGTTGCAAATTTGAGGCAAAGATTCTACCATTCTATTGCACCTGGAGGGCTTGCTGGTGATAGGCAGGGAGTTGTTCCTGCTTCAGGTTTTTCCTTTAGTGCAGAACAGATATGGAAAGTTATCAAGGAGAACCGGGACCTTGACCTTCCTGCTCACAAGGTAAATGTAGTTTTAAAAATTCACTCCTTTTGATTATTATTTTAATGATATTCTGTGTTTTTACTGTGTGTGTGTGTGTGTGATGTCTTTTGATGCTTCTGTAGGTGATGGTGGCTACTGTGCGTTGTGAAGAAATTGCTAATGAGAAATACGCTGCCTTTGTTGCAAACAAGGTTCATTGTTTTCATGTTTCATTAGTTGATGTTTTCCTTGAGATATTTAAACTAATTGTTTTTAAAATATTACATACAGGACTGGTGCGAATTAGAGAATACTGTGAAGTCTGAATTGGTGCCGGACTTAGGGAAGAGGTTTAGTGCAATGCTTCAAACTTGTTTTTCAGGGTATGCACATAAATACTTAGCTTATGTTCATGCATATATACTTGTTTTAAAGAAATGATTATGCACATATGTACTTGTTCTTGTTATTCATGTGCATATAACTAACTGTATATTGCATTACAAATTCAAGCGAATTTGTTGGCATCATGTTTTTATTTTTAGTATAAATTCCTTTTGCAGATATGATGATGAGACTACATTTTTTGAAGAAGGAGTTAGGACTTGTAAGAGAAAGCAAATGGAAGAGAAGTTGTTGCAAGTAATGTTATGCTATATTCAATTGGGATTGTGGTAAAATATAATTTATATAACTTAATTCCCTCATTACTCATTACTTGTTTCTTTTTTAGCTTGTTCAACCATCCTACCACGCAACATTGGGACATATAAAATCTGAAACACTTGAAAAATTCAATAAAGCATTTGAAAGCGCTTTGAGTGAAGGACAAGGGTTTGCAGTGGCTGCTCGTGATTGCAAAACATCAACCATGAAACTATTTGATCATCAGTCTGAAGGTAATAATAATATCTTCATATATATAACTATTATAATAATAAATAATAATTATCAATATGCACATAAAAAAATTGTCTTGAATGTATAGGTGCCATCATCAAACAAGCTGACTGGGACACATCTAAAGTAAGGGAAAAGTGTTCAAACGAAATCGATGCACAAATAGCTGATGTTCGTAATACAAAGTTAACCGATCTTTCTACACTATATGAGGTAATAAAGTTTTGATATATATATATATATATATATATATATATATATATATATATATATATATATATTGTAGATACTCAAGTTGATTATATGTATTTTTTTTGTGCAGTCAAAACTGAAGGAAGCATTATATGGACCAGTGGAAGCTCTTCTACAAGCAACTAATGATGACACTTGGCCTGCAATAAGAAAACTTTATAAACGTGAGACTCAAACAGCTGTCACCGAGTGTTCTGCTGCACTTTGTGGCTATGAAATGAAAGAAGACTCCAAAAAAGAATTCCTTTCGAAATTGGAAAATCATGCTAGAGATATAGTTGAAAAGAAAGCCAAAGAAGAAGCTGGCAGAGTTTTATCTCTCATGAAAGAGAGGTACTGACACTGTGCATTTCTACTTTTTATTTGAAACTATATATTTTTACTGTACATATAATTAATTATCTTAAAAAAACATATACAGGTTTGTAAGCATATTTAATCATGATAGCGATCAAATGCCTCGAGTTTGGACTGGAAAGGAAGATATTCGTGCAATTACTAAAACAGCTCGTGCTTCTGTAAGAATCTTAATTAATATTAAAAAAATAATAATTGATGGTTGTAGATTTTAACATGTGATGTGTTCTTATTTCAGTCTTTAAGGTTGCTATCTGTGTTGGCTGTAATTCGTTTGGATGGAGATGCTGATAAAATTGCAGATATACTAGTCCTTACTCTATTGGATCCAACAAAAGTTGCTGTTAAAAGCTCCACAACAAACGATCCATTGGCCTCAAGCACATGGGAAAAAGTAATGTATTTTTATTCTATTAATTAGTATGATTATTTTGTTAGATATTTTAGTTTGGTGATTTATCTGCTCTTACACCTAGATCCCAGCATCGAGGACGTTGATTACTCCTGTTCAGTGCAAATCTTTGTGGTGTCAATTTCAGAGAGAGACAGAGTATACTGTAACTCAAGCTATTTCTTCACAGGCATGTTATCTTCCTAATGTTAATATTATCTCTGGGATTATTTAGCAATTGCATCTTATGATTTTCGTTTTTCAGGAAGCTAACAAGCGAAGCAGCAACTGGTTACCACCTCCATGGGCTATTGCTGCTTTGTTCGTCCTGGGATTCAATGAATTCATCACTCTTTTGAGGTTCTTTTTTTGTATTTTATTTTTCATAAAGTCTCAATATCTGTTCATTTGATTACCTCAGTACCAACCTTTGTCCTATTTTATTTTCCAGGAACCCGTTGTATCTAGTAATGATTTTCATCAGCTATTTGCTTCTGAAAGCTTTGTGGGTTCAATTAGACATAGGTGCTGAATTCCGACATGGCTTTGTAAGTGTTAATGCCAAGATTAAGAAAGAACAGGTTGTACTGTAGTTGCAATCTTTGTCCCTCCGAAAAAGGTGGAAACCAGAGACTCGATGACCTTTATGCGGATGCAAAGGGCATTTACGTTTTTTGCGAGCGAGTCTCATGTCCATTTTGGATGAGACAAAAGATGCAATTTTTGTCCCACGTCACATCAATCTCGTAGTTCATTATTGCATGCCAAACGTACTAGCATGTGTTATGTGATGTTCATGTTTGTATGGTAATTAAGAAAAGAAGTTGCAATTAATATTTGATGGGTTTTGTTTAATCTGGTGTTACCAGCTTACAGGAATTCTGTCGATTTCCACCAAGTTTGTTCCCACCATCTTCAATCTTATGAGAAAACTGTCGGAACAAGGACAAAGGCCCACCGAACTCCAAAACCGTCCACACAGCTCCTAACTAATATCGAGGACGACGACTTTCCATATAATAACACTCGCATCGCATTTGATCTCTATAAAGCTAGTAATTTAAGTAAACGGAACCTAATTGATGAGGCCCTATGGACATGTCACACGTGGTGAACGTGAATCAGTTCCATACATATTTGTGCGTGCCGATTTAACTGGTCAACTTTGTGAATACGATTCATATTGGGTTTTGAAGAATCCTAGCTACACCCGAACAGTACCATATTCTATTAATTAGGCGATTCTACTTACTTGCTTTACAACTTCCTTTTAATGGTTTTCTCTTGTAACAAAGCCATATTTCTTGTGTATTTTAGTGTATGGAACATGTATCCATCGTGATGCCAAGGTAAATATGTTCTTTCGACGACCCGATTGTTAAACAAGACAATTGTTTGATCTGTGCTTGACGTTCATTGGACTAAGACTAAAGTTGTAATATTTTGTCTCACGAAAAAAGATGGAACATTGATCTCGAAAATTGGTATTTTCGCAAAAAAATAAAAAACATATATAAATAAATCATAAATTTGGATAACCCAAGTATGTCTTTTGAATACTGAAATATGATGTCAATGACTACTGAAAAAGCAATTTTATACATTATTTTATTTTATAGATGATTGAAGTTGAAAGTGATAATTTGATCTTATATCCTTACATTTTTTGGTCATTTTAATGATTAGCTCATTAAAACAGTATTCGACTTAACTAGCAGTCGTGGATTCAAATTCACAATACAACATATGTATATTTCATTTCATTTGACATGGTAGTGAACACATTAGAAGATCTAATATGTTATTTTCCTCCAATGTTTTGATTATTTGAGTTTGACACTATGCATTTTGTAAGACACATAATTATAATAAAACCAATAGGACATCATAGTTGCACTTGCACGGAGTAACAACATAACAACACTGTCCCTTTTTGCCCACCTTCCCCATTAAAATATAATTTACATGATTCATGAATGCCACTGAAATATAACTTGTAACGGAATAAAATGCCAACATAACATCCATAACTAAAACCAAGCAACTCATTTTTCTCTTTTGAAATTGCAAAAACAAATAACCCTTTATAAAAGAAGAAAAACATAATCCCTAAGTTAAATGATGTGTTGATTTAAGTATTAATCATTATACAAGTCAACAAAAAGAAAAGCAATAGTAAAAGCAGCTACGAAAAGCAAGAGAAAAACTTTGCAACTTTTGTTCCTCTGTATGGCTTGAGTTAGTTCCTTGTTACCCATCTCAACATTCTTTGTTGCTTCAACCGCCTATAAATAAATAAATAAATCAGATACTACCAATAAGGAATTGCAAGTGCATTGATATTATCGTGTGTATATATATATATATATATATATATATATATATTGCCTATATTGGTACAAAGAGTAAAGTACAATGCTATTTCTGACCTGATCATACAAATACTCAATTTGTTGAGCCTGTTGCAAGACATGTGTTGACATTAGATGATTCAATGCTGACATCTCTACCATCTTTGTTTCAGCGTCACGTGCAGCATCAAGAAAACTTGATAACTCCACCTATAAGGGTAGTATAGTCATTTTGCATAGTTTAACAATACGCACAAATATGGTTACACAAAAGGTAAAAAGTTGAAGTTAGGGGACCAAATCCGTAATTTTGATAAGCACGGGGACTAAATATGTAGTTTACAACAATACCTGAAGAGCACGCGTTTCATCATCTAAAACTTGCTGTTGAACTTTCATGGGGGGTTCAGTTGTAATTTCACCTGGGTCACTCATCTCTGATGAAATTGTTGGTTCAGTTTTTTCAGGTGGGGCCCGCTTTGGTTTTGGTTTTCTTCTAGGCATAGCTTGATTAATAGCTTCTTGAAAGCGTACACCTCTCAGTTGATCAAATTGTGATGTCAATGAATGTAGACTTTCACTTAAAATCAAAACCTGTAATTCAAATAAATAAATAAATAAATAAACATAAAAAAAATCATAATAATCAAGAAAATTTTTACGTACAACTCCATGTTTGTGTGCGATAGTATCAGCATTAGCATCGTCACCCCTAGTTCCAGACCATCCTTTTGCATTTGCTTCTTCATCAGTTATGCTGGTTTTGAGGATGTCAATCTGTTCTTTACAAGCTTTTACAAAAACACAAACCTGTAAATAAGTTATGTATTTTAAAACTTTAGTAAATTACATATTGGTCCCCAGGTTTAGCTGAAATTTTCAATTTTGGTCCCAAAAAGCTCACTTTTGCAAAAGTGGTCCTTATTTTTGAAGTTTCCTAAAGATTTTTGGTTCAAGTGCGTCTAAGTTAACAAACTAGCTGTTAACCTTTTAAGAATGACCATTGTGCCCTTGGATCAAATATATTTTTAGAGCCTTACTTCGTGTTCAATGCTGTCTCTGTCCTCTTCTGTGGTACGATGAGGATCTACATAATCCTTTCTGTGCTTTATCAAGAACTGTTCTAGAGTCCCAATGCTTTCTAGCTGAAAAAAAAATAAGGAATATACAATATTTTTAATATTTAGGATAACTATACAAGAAACAGTATGTTTGTATATGGTAGTAAAGATTTGTGTACTGTTTTGAATGCAGCTTTGATGAAATGTGATCTTTCATGGGGTTTGTGCAAGATGAAAGATGCCATTAGAGCTGCCCTTTTGGCCTGTTGATGGTAATTACACATCAGAAAATCATTAGAGGAAATAATGGTGAAATAGGATAAAGATTGGTCAAACATGGTCAATACAGCAATTAATGAGAACAAACCTCCTTAAATCCCAAAGATAAAGCTCCCCTGTTGACAGCATCTTTGAAGTCTTCAGTTCGGTCTCTGATCTTAGCCATGCCTTAACATCCACTAGAACTCACCTTTTACAAACAACAAAAAATAATAAATATATTAAATAAATAAATAAATCTTCATATAAAAGGAATAGTGTTGAAACGTAAAATTAAAGTACCAACAGCGCAATATTTGATGTCATGTATATATTTGACAAGTATGCTCCATTCTTGAGGTATCTAAATTATATAAATTATGAATTATGACCAAAGAAACTCACTGTTTTATTAAGAGATCAACTTTTTGTTCATAATGAGTTGCAGAAGAAGTTACTATGCAATCTCTTTATTGACTTGAACACAATGCAATTTCATTCTACTACAATTATGATGTTGACTTTAGGAACATGTTCAAAACCAAAAAAAAAGCACAACATTCAGCACTGCAGAAGTTAATTGCAAGCACAAGTTTAGGGACACTAGAAAAGGATGCCATGTACATAATGATCTAGCACATGCACAGCTGTGTATATAGCAAGCAAAGGCAACCATGTCACTTCTTTTCCCCACAAAAGGTCCAAACGTCACCAAATTTAACAATCATGGCCTCTTTGACCTTGCATTCAACCCAAATACAGAGCCCAAACCTCAGCAGAACTTGTTAGAAAATACGATTTCATTAACAAAATTCACAACTCCAGAAAGCACCGAAAAGCTAGAAACAAGAAACAAAAGAATAATGCATACAACGATTTCACACTGCAAGAATCAAACTATTGTTACTTCTCCTGGTAACTTTAGGAGCATTTAGTCTCGGTGGAAGACACGAAGCATAAGGGGAAAACGAAGAAAGATAATGTAGGGGTATGGATGGTCTTTTAGGGCACCCTTTGATCCAGAAAAAAAAAAGCAAGTTATATGGTACGTTTGCCAAGATGGGAAGAGAATCACTTACAAGCCATTCCCGATTACCTTGATCGCTGATGTGGGGAAAGAAGAGGACGGAACCGGTGGCTGTGGGGAAAGAAGAGGACGGAAACGATGGCTGCGGGGAAAGAGGACGGTGGCGCCGGTGACGGGGAAGGAAGGAAGAGGGTGGCGATGGAGGCTGGTGTGGGAGGCGAGGGCGGTGGGTGGAAATTGTTTGCTAGTGAATGGTTTATGTATGAATGATTCAGAGGCTAAAGTTTTCCCTCTCAACGATTAAGAGACAAATTAGAAAATATTACATAAATGGTCCTTGAAGTTTACCAAAGGTCACAATGCCAGTCTTTGTTAACTTCTGATCCTTGTAGTTTTTAAAATTGACATGATTGGACCCTGAGCAATGAGCAACATCAAATGACTTTCTTGCGTTTTTAATTTCTCTCCATCTTTTTTATATAACTACAACATTTTAATTAAAAAGAAAAGAAAATAATTCTCCTTACCCTTACCCCCCCCCCCCCCCACACACACACATCTCTCTCTCTCTCTCTCTCTCTCTCTCTCTCTCTATATATATATATATATATATATATATATATATATATATATATATATATATATATATATATAAACTTTGATCCGTCTTCAATAACTTTCACATGAGAAATCGTCGTCATCGCAAAACTAACAAGTATGAAATCTCTGCTTTAACTCCAACGAACTATGTGCGTGCATTTTAGTTTGTGATTCCGTTTGTATGTTGAATGTTATTGACTCTGATTTGCAGTGAAGTAAGAGAAATATCGACAGTACCAAGAGCCTAATAATATCTACAATCTCAACTCATACAAACACTCTGTAATCATCGTTACTTAAATTTTCCATTCACGATTTCAGTGCTAGGGTTTGCGCTTACTAGTATCTCCATGATTTTAAATTTGATTATTTTGATAAAAAGTAATTTATAAACAAGCATTGATGGTCTTGTTGAGATCACATGCGTAAAATACAAGAGATCACAGACGTAAAATATAATAGATCAAAGTTCTAACCTAGTATAAAAATATGTAAAAAAAGAAAAAATAATAACTTGTAAATGGTTATCGGTTCTTTATAGATTTTTTTTGAACAACCGAATTTCATTAAAGACTAGCAAGGGGCTAGAAAACACAAAACATTACGAAGAATTAGTAAGAGTTTTGGATCCGATTAGTCCAAAACGCATTCACTTTATTGATTCTATTAACATACCACATAAAAAAAATACAGGATACTATCAAACAAAACTATATGCAAAGTAGGCTTATCTCTAAAGACCATCTCATTCCGAAACCTCCGGATCACCCAAATAACGACACCAATGATAGCCTCTAAAGCAAACTTTTTATCTAATCTCAAATTAAACTAATCAATCTACTCAAACACATCAAAAAGTTTCTATCTTTCAAGAGAAATAACATTAATCCACATGAACACCTTTCTCCAAAGAGCAGCCGAGACCTTACAAAACCAAAACAAATGATGAAATTCTTCTGGTTTGTTCGAGTATAAGGGAGGAGGGAGTCGTTCCCTCACAACCCACCGAACCCAATGAACCCACTGCCACATCAGCTTTTCTCTTTGATTTTTCTTCATCTTTCCCAACCCACAACACACGGAAATCCTATCTTTCTCAACCCACTCAATTAAAAAAAAAATACAAAATAATCAAGGTAAAATCTTAATTAGCAATAGAGTTATCTTCGGTACCACTCCCTCTTTAGCCGGTTGTTTAACTGGTTTCACGAACCCACTTCATCCTCTATCTCTACTTTCTCTCTCTCATTTTCTCTTGTACCATGTGTTTTAAGATTTGTACCTTAGTTGTTTAGTGTTTTTTTTAATTGAGTGAGTTGAAAAATATAAGATTTCCGTATGTTGTGGGATGAGAAAGATGAAGAAAAATCAAAGAGAAAAGTTGATGTAGCAGTGGGTTCATTGGGTTCGGTTGGGATGGAACGATTCCCTCCTCCCTAAGGGGCAAAACAAGAACCCCGGCTCAACCCCTTTGCGACAAAGATTCCATCTATTTGTTACTATAATCGAATATAAAATTATAAATAAATTCCCATTAAATAGTAAAAGTAAAATATAAAAACAAAATACACCAGTATTTCTATAAGTTGCCCTAAAGTAGACGTATATTGATTTTTTAAAGAAATATATAAGATTCAAATTTAACAAAAAAAAAAAAAGTGATTATTTTTTATTCAATGGCGTCCAATTGTATGCGCCAGCGCCATAGCCAATTGTCCTTTCACCACTATAATTCAAATAACCCACCCTCCCTCACACGCTCTCCCATGTGTCCAAACATCTTTCATTCGATTCAAGTATTGAAACCTACAGTTCTATTCCAATTCATCAACCGAATCTTTTATCTCGATCGATTCCGCCTTTTCGTTTAGTCAACGTGTGAAGTACTACTGAAGCAAATCACTTAAATCACAGAGATAACGAAGAAACCAGGCCATCTTCTGATTTCTACAAGTAGGTATCGTTGTTATGTATCGATTTTAGTTTCCGATTGTTTTTCGTTTTCGATTGGTTTATAAGTTTTCTTGTGGTAGGGTAGCTAACGATTACGAACTATCATTAGCTTTTATGATCTGGTTTACTCTGCTTAAATTGTTCGTTGATCGGTATTTATTGCTAGTTACGAACGCGATTTTCGTAAAACTGAGGGATTTACTTGACTTATATTGAAGTTTTGTATACTATTTAATGTAATTTCATGAGGCATCTGCGAGATCATTAGCTTGTCTAAATTCTTTTGTTTTTTTGTGTTTGTATAGATTTAGCAGTTTGATTTAGTGGAAGAGCTAGTGTGAGATAAACTGTTACTGCATTCGATTCCCGAAGGAGCTTGCGGGTGATTTTTGAACAGAATTGCTGCAGTAATAGTAGTAGTTTGATATCTCTGTCAGTATATCTGTTGGTAGCCGGAGAAGTCTGCTTAATTTTAATTAGTTAAGAGTGAAGAAGACGTTTGGATTGATTGATTGCACTCGATGAAGTAGTTTTTTGATGTATATGCTCAATAAATGGGAGATGATCGGATGCTGAAGTAAAAGGATTTTCTGATGCAATTAAAATTGATCCCATAATATAGCTGTAGCAATGGCTAGTGAGGCAAGCTCTTCTGGTCAATGGCTTCAGCAAGATTCTGGTTCTACTATATTAAAAGATGGGGTAGTGGTGGGCAAGAGTTCGAATAACAACATATCATTAAGAACCGGTGAAGAGTTTTCCATGGAGTTCCTTCAGGATCGTGGTACAAGAAGAATCCCTAATGGACACGATACAAACCCAAACCATGAGAAAATGGTTGGATCAAAAAGTGATGTCAGTGGTAATCTTGGTTTCAATGAGATAAGTGGCATGCTTGGGTTGCAAAGGAGGGAACCTGTAATTCCAACTGATAACATTTCTGCAAAAGGGCCTCTTTCTATGGCAAGTGCACCAGTCAATTCCATTCCATCTCTGCCCCACCGAGCTTCAGGGTCGGGTGCTGTAAATGATTCTCAAAGAGGCAAGATAAAGTTTCTCTGCAGTTCTGGTGGTAAAATTTTGCCTCGACCTAGTGATGGGAAACTAAGATATGTGGGAGGTGAGACACATATTTTTTCAATACATAAGGATATATCATTTGATGAACTTGTCAATCGAACTGGTAAATTTTGCAATCAGCCTCACACAATCAAGTATCAGCTTCCAGGAGAGGATCTTGATGCTCTTATATCTGTGTCTTCTAATGAGGATCTTCAGAATATGATAGAGGAATACAACGGGGTTGGAATTCGTGATGGTTCTTCACGACTCAGGATATTCTTGATTCCTCTGACAGAATTGGAAAGTACAGTTTCCATTGAATCCAATGCTAATCTGCAGAATAGTCCAGATTACCAATATGTAGCTGCTGTGAACGGAATAGCTGATGATGGTCTGAATAACTCGAATGTCATTTCACATATTTCTGAACCCCGAATATTGGTTGCACAACCTGATCCATCTCTTTTTGTTTCACCTGTTCTAATGCCACAAAATGATCTGACTAATAGTCATGCACAAGTGTACGATGACCCATTATCTGATAGTATTGAGATCCCAATACTCAAGGGTAGAGCTTTTCATTCAGAAAATCGTATTTTACCCCCTTCTGATCCAGTGAATCTGTGTGTGGTGGGATCCAATGGGTCTCAACTGGGTATACCACATGCTTTTTCTGACCCACAACTCAAGGAACATGGATCAACCTCTGCTTTTGGCTCACAAGATGGATCAAATTTTCCTTCTACACTGACCTATCCACCACCACCACTACCTTCACAGCTGACATCATCCTTCTTTCAGGGGAGCTCTGTTGAACAACATGATAACTTTCCTCCACAAGTCTTGTTTGAGATGCCAAATTTTAATCATGAGTCTTTGAACAGAGTCCATGAGGATGCAATGCACAGCCATGAGACACACCAAGATGTGAAACAAGATCTAAGTCAGAATGTTGGGCTGCAACTCCCAAATATTGTCTCTGCATCAACAGAAAGAAATATGAGAACCACAACAATGGCTCCCAATTACAACAATATATCTGATGCTGACAAATCCTTGAATGATCTACTCTCTCACCTATCTCATGGTTTAGTGCAACAATCAAGTTCACATAAAAAAGAATCAAATGGCCAAAATCCTAACCTAATTGATGCACTGGAGTCAACACTGCATGATTCTTCCTTGAAGCAGATTCCAACAACAGGTGCTGAGTTTAAAAAAGAAGTGAATCTCATTGATGACAACTTTAATTACACTGAACTTAAACCTGCTGAATTGGGTAATGAAGAAAGTCAAAATAAGATACAAAAGGAAATCCCATCATCCAAGGTCAAGGAAGAAATCCAACTGGAGTTGAATGACCCTTTGGGAGATGTGAATGTTGCTATTAGTCATTCACAGTTGTTAAGTGCAGTTAGCAATGAGGCTCTCCCTTCAAGTGAAATAGAAGCTGAAGACATTCACTTAGAATCTGGCATTGAGGTAGGACACTTAAGAAAAAAAAATGAAACAAAATGTTGAGACATCAGTAATTTTATAAACTTAAATTTAGGTATTTCCTTATTAACTATGCAGGATGCTGCACCAGAAAATGGAGGTAGTGGTGGCCCATTTAATAATGCATTAATAGCAGAAATGGAAGCTGATATGTATGGTCTCCAGGTACGTTACTATTTCTTCATATAACGTTAAAAGTAACTTTTGCCCAACATACCTAAACTGTGGTCCAGTTCGACTAATGTTGGCTTATCATAAGAGGCGCTTTTGTTAAATAACATGCATCATGTCAGAGCATTTCTAGTGGTAGTTTTTTGTAAAGGTTTTTACTCTTTAAAAAACTCATTGAAAAGCTTTTTACCATTAGAAATTTATGCTTTTTTTTAATGGTCACTCCCAAGACTCTAATTGGTAATTGGAATAGTTTATTTATTTACTTATTAGTTTTTTGACTAACTAATCTTGTTTATTAAATATGCAAATAAAAATGAATATTATATATAGACAAATATAGCATTAAAAAAATATTTGTCAAAGCATTTAAAATAACATCAAATATCAAATACCAAAACATAGCAATCTTATAATATTTAAATATTTTTTTACAACTACATACATGATAATTTATACCTTCTTTTATTCGATTAAAAACGACAAATTATAAGAGGAGTCTTTATAAAACATCTCATATAGATGGGGATAAATTAGCTAACTTTCTTAAAAAAGCTTTTAGAAAAGTTTATGACTGGAGAAGGTTTGTAATAATGGGTTTTTTTTTTTTTTTTTTATTTTTATTTTGTGGAAAGTTGATGCGACAAAAGTAAAAAGCTTTAGTAAGGGGCATTTTGGTCACTTTGGCTCGCACTTGGTTTTATTGTTCCTCTGTTTCCCTAGTATACTCTTGTGTTTCCATATGCAGATAATAAAGAATGCTGAACTTGAAGAATTAAAAGAGTTAGGGTCTGGGACATATGGAACTGTCTATCATGGAAGATGGCGAGGGTCAGATGTCGCCATTAAAAGAATAAAGAAAAGCTGCTTTTCTGGGAGATCATCCGAGCAAGAACGCTTGGTGGGTCATTTTCGTAATTTCTTTTATCATCTTTTTCTGTATTATTTTTCTTTCTCAAAATGATTATTGTAAGTTGTAACTGTTATATATTCTTATTAACTCCCAACTATGCAGACTAATGATTTCTGGAGAGAAGCTCGGATTCTTTCAAATCTTCATCATCCAAATGTGGTTGCATTTTATGGGGTTGTACCAGATGGAGCTGGAGGAACGTTAGCAACTGTTACCGAATTCATGACACACGGATCACTTCGGAATGTGTTGATAAAAAAGGACAGGTGAATTTACTTTTCTACCCTCGTGCAATTATTTTTACCTTGTTTGGGTTTTTAATTGTTATTTTGAAATTTAAATTGTTATGCAGATCACTTGATCGTCGTAGAAAGCTTATAATAGCCATGGACGCGGCTTTCGGCATGGAATATCTGCATATGAAAAACATTGTTCACTTTGATCTAAAATGTGACAACTTGCTTGTTAATATGCGGGATCCACAAAGACCTATTTGCAAGGTAATTGTTTGGTATGATGGAATAGAGGAAGGAATTGCAATATAACCCATTTTGACTTTTGTAAATTTTGATGACATAAATCTTTTTAGAATATTTCTTGATTATAATTAAATTACAAGTTTATCTTCTAAAAGTTTACTAGAAAATATATTTTTATTATAATATCATATAGGTTTTAGTGAGCTTTTAATCTGTTTAATGTTATGTTGTTGTAAATAAATAAAAAAATCATTAATTATAACTAACTAATGTATAAAGTAGAAGTAACATTATACATTCTATGTAACAATAAATGATATAATACAAAATTTTATTTCATTCCTACTTTGACACCCACATTTAGGTAGTGTTTGGTACGAGGGAATTACCGAAGGAATGGTATGGTTCATTCTATTCTACTGAAAAATAGCTCTTTCTTTTGTCTGATGGAATAGAATGGATTATTCATGAAGGAATCTGATTCCTTTCCATTTTGCTAATTTGCATTCCTTAGTGGGTGTTTTTTTTTCATCATAAAATGAAAAATTGTAGTATAACCCATTTTATTTGTAACTTCTTTGGTGACATGATTTTTATTTTTAATTTCATGATTTTAGTTAACTTATACATTTATTTACAAAAATAACTAGTCGGTATATTTCTTTATCATAATCTTATTTGGGTTTTGATGAGGTTTTATTATGTTACATTTATTGTTTTTGTAAATAATAAATTCTATAATTATACCTATACAATATAAAGAATTTTGTTAAAACAATGACTTGTAATACACCAATCATGCTTTGACCCTTGTTGCAGGTTGGAGATTTCGGGCTGTCAAGGATCAAACGCAACACTCTAGTTTCAGGTGGCGTGAGAGGAACTCTACCATGGATGGCACCAGAATTGTTAAACGGTAGCACCACCAGAGTCTCTGAAAAGGTTAAAATCCCTTCCATCATCATATCCTAATCCCACACAATTAATATATTTGTTCAAATAACATAATTTTGGATTCTTACAGGTTGATGTCTTCTCCTTTGGCATTACAATGTGGGAGATTCTAACTGGTGAAGAACCTTACGCAAACATGCATTGTGGGGCAATCATCGGTAATCTATTTTTCTATTTTTGTGGGATGAAAAATTACAAATTTTCATTTTTGTTCCTTTATCACTCAATGCACATCAAATACAGTATAACATATTTTGTCATGTCATGTCATGCGTAACAACTTTATGTGAAATCTTGATTACAGGAGGGATAGTGAAGGATACACTTCGGCCTACAATACCAGAACGGTGTGATCCCGAGTGGAAAAAGTTGATGGAGCAGTGTTGGTCAGCGGACCCCACCGTTCGCCCTTCATTTACCGAGATCACAAATAGACTGCGAACCATGTCCAAAGCGCTCCAAGCAAACGGCCACAAAAAACCCCAACACGTATAGTTCCGTTCACTAGAGTATGTATGTATCTCTATTTCGTTTTGTGTTTATATTGTATCTATTTAGTGTTCATATGTTACTTATTGTGTGTTTACATGTATCTATTCATTTGTTCATTCTTTCTTTCGCACACGAAAAAGATCGAAAACAAGCCCTTATTCCACCCTTTTTTATAAGATAAAACTTATATTCAGTGTCTTATTAATACCGGTTTTGGTCCATGCGCGTCAATTGTAATACATTTCTTTTGTTATATCATGTTTTGCCTGACAAGTAGGATCTACAAGTCACAGGTCTTAGATTCTTGGGACATATATATATATATATATATATATATATATATATATATATATATATATATATATATATATATTTTCTCTTGTCACGTTTGTAACAAACCGTCTAGCTTAGTGGCAATGACCATGGCCCTCATGAACACTATTACAAAACAGATGTCTATCGACCATTTGGCCGACACACCATCATCTGAGGGCCTCATCACCTTCTGTGGCTTATATGGCCCTTCTAAATAATGACAACACAATTAATCTTTTTTTTTTTTTTTTTTTTTTTTTAAATAACAATGGACGTATTGAATGTTGAGAAACGTATATCATGTACATCAATGGTGTATATACGAACACACCATCATCTGAGGGCGTTTTATGTGAGTTAAAGAGATAGAATATACCCATTTAGATCACAATATGAGAGGAAACGTATAACTTATTGAGATGTGCGCTATGAAGATGATAAAGAGTGATGGCTGGGAATTCCCTAAACAAGAGTAAATTGTTATGCATAGAAGATTTTGACGGGGTTCCAAAATTACCATCAACGATGCCTGATTATATGGAATGTCGTATCGACTACCTTGAAGAATACAATTGAATCGGCATCCAATATTGCATGGACATTGTTGCAAAATTAAAGAGAGAGAAATGGATTAATGAAAGCAAATATAAGTCTTGGAGTTCTTTTGTACTAAATGTAACTTGATCCCTAACCCTAAAACCTAATTTATAACAGGGTTATAAATATTACACTTAGGGCTCGTTTGATAAGGCTTCCACTACTAGAAACATGGGTTTTAGATTTGGCAAATGTAGATTGGGTCCAAAATTTCGATTTGGCAAGTTTGATTTGGCTTTTAAACTGATAGACTCGGTCCAAACCTTAGACTCGGTCTATGATATTCATCTGATTCGGTCCCTTCTCAAAATTTGAAGGACCGGGACAACTGGAGAAATTCACAGCAGCAATTCTCGTTCCTTATAGACGACTGAAATTCACCTCTACATCTACGCTTCCTTCGACCGGCGACACCTCACCAGCATCTGTCGGCGGTGACCTCCACAACATCGCAGCATCTCAACGTCCCAAATCTGAGATATTCCGACATGCGTCCTAGCATCTCAACATCCCTGCTTTGCGGTTGTTCTTGAGTTCTAGATTCCTTCAAAACGAGGAGCGTTGTTAGGGCAATAACCTACTTCTCACGGTAAACAAAAATTTGGGAAAAAGGATACATAGAAGACGAGGAGACAATTAAGTTCTTGAGTTCTCGATTCCTATTTGTATCTCGCTTTTGATCAATTGCAAATTGAAATTTTATGTACGACATGAGCTCTTATTGGTTATAGTTATGGAATAATTACTTAAATCTATGATGTTTTCAACATAAATATTGTTGCTATCTTTTGAGTATTCTCTAACTTCAATTCTTTGATTCGGTGGGATGTCAAAAGTTCAAGACACAGATGAATAGTTGTTCTATGTTGTTTAAATTGACCATTCATAAGCAAGCTGCTAATTTTTGGTGTTTTTCTGTCTGATGTGCATTGCTATTTCTAGCAAAATGGTCAAAGTGAATTGAGTTATTTAAAATGTACTTTATAAAGGTCTGATGTCTTTCTACCGGTTTTAATGGTTAGCTTGCGACATTTCACTATAATTTCCTGTTGTTTTCAATGTCCATTGTTATTTTTAGAGTAATGGCAAAGCTCATATCTATGAAGGGTATATTACCTGGTGTAAAATACTACATAACATGTTCTAAAGGCCAACAATTGATGAAGTTGAAATTGTTTATTTGTGGTATACATAAACTGATCTGATTAAAGAACAATTTGGGAAGTATACAGTCCATAAACGTGTTTCTATGTGCATTAATTATCCAAAATTCATTTATCTTCTTTACTTACCAAGATCATGTTCTTTTGTTTATGATTTTTTAAATTGAAAATGGTGTATTTGTAGTGTTATAAATTAAATGGTAAGTCGTAAAGGAATTATTATAAAATGTTGTCTCGGAGCAATATAGTCATTTTAATGTATCAGTCAGATGCAAAATCAAACAACAAGTTTCAGTCAGAAGTTAACTCAGTCAGAACTTCTAACTCAATCAGCTGCTAACCCAGTCAGCTCTAACTCAGTTAACAACTATCAAACGACCCCTTAACTTTAATATCATCACTTCAGCTTGAAATATTGTTTTTTATGCACTTAATCGTACATTGTATTCTAGAGTAACTGCAATAAGAGAGACAACCATAAATATCCCTCTCTAGATACTCATGGAGTCCTCTAAGGACCATTTTATCTTTATATGGTACCATAATGTAATAAATATTACTAGTAAAATGTATGCCCAAGTCAAGAAATTATGCAAAAGGTTCTTGTTTTGTGAAATATATTCACTTTAGTAAGGAACATTGTACGTAGTTAATTAATAGGGTTGTTGAAGATACCAAGGCTCGATAAATGGCATACGAACGATTATGCTTAACAACAAATAAGGTTATAGCATATCAGATGGTGTGGGATCTCGATGTCTTTGGTTCTTTCTCTGTCTCTTCAGTGAGGTTTTATATGGATTCTATTTTACTTGGAAGTTCTGATATTGCTCTCTTCAGTGAGGTTTTATATGGATTCTATTTTACTTGGAAGTTCTGATATTGCTACTAGATGGAATACTTTTGTCCCTCAGAAATTAAATGTTCTTTTATGGCGTATATCGAGAAATAGAATTCCGACTCAGTTGAATCTTAGAGATACATGTATTGATCTTGGTTCGATTTTGTGTCCGGTTTGTTTTTCCACAAGAGTCTACAGATCATGTTTTCTTCTTGTGCCCACATATTGCTCTTTTATTGAGTCGGATTGCTAGTTGGTTGAGGTTTCGATTCTAGTAAAGGCTTCTGTCTTTTCGCTCATTACTTGGCCGATAATTCTTCTTTTGATGCAGAACAAAAGAAGATTTTTGATGCAGTTATCATATGTACGTTTTGGTCGATCTAGAATTATCGGAATAAACTCATTTTTAGAATGGTAAAGCCTAAATTGGATGTTTAGTATGATGATATTCGATCTAGTTCTTTTTTTATTAGTAATAGAAAAAAAGTACAAAATGTATTGGGATTGTTGGTTGTCAAATCCCAACTTATTATGACTTTAGTTTTTTGCTAGAGTTTTTTAATGCATTATGGTCGTTCTTAAAAAAAACAAATAAACTTGTTTCGGTTTTCCACTATTCCTAACAAGATATACTCCAAAAATACATTAACTACTTATGAAGCATCTCCCACGTTCCTTACCGAAAGGAATCATATTTCAAAATTAATCATGGTACAATAACAATATTTTGAACAATAAATTTCATTTATAGAATTATACATATCTACCGCTAGAATTACAGTTGTGGGCCAAACTATATTTATAAACCAATATCAATATTATCAATAGGGATGTGATTTGTGCATAATATTTGTTTTCATAAACAATAAATTATGTTTTATAAAATTATAGAGTATAACATTTTAAAGCATAAATTATTATTATTATTATTATTATTATAATTATATATACAGAGAGAGATAGAGAGAGAGAGAGAGAGGGGGGGAGAGAGAGACACAGAGTTAGGTTCAAATGTTTGTACTATCTATTGTATGCATGTAAAATTGATTCTGGACCAATCTTTTTAGTTATTTGAAAAAGTAATTAATGCATATTAAATGATGAAGATTTAATTAATACTCATTATATCTTCAACATGTAATATGCATTAATTACTTTCTTAAAATTTTCTTAAAATAACTAAAATGATTGGTTTACAATCAATCCTACATGCACACAATAGATAGTTAGAACATACTAACCTAGCACTATATATATATATATATATATATATATATATATATATATATATATATATATATATATATATATATAGAGAGAGAGAGAGAGAGAGAGTAGGATCAATTGAGAACACCCAAAAGGTTGAGAACGCAAGAACAGTTCTGGACCCTTCAAATTTCAAAACTTGAGGCTGAAATTAAATTGGTATTTATTTAATTTCCAACTAATTTAAATATTTTTTAAATTTCAAAAAATAGGAAAAGGGTATGAAGGTAATTTTCTTTTTGATTCTTTCCACAAAATTAGCAACTATTATATAGAAATTAACTCAGTCAACCTTATTAAAATGAAATCAACCAAACTAGGTTATCACAAACCCTATCACCATGTCTCTCTTATTTGCCGTCTTCATCATTCTCCCGTCACCACCATCTTCATTTACTGGTTTCTATAGATCAGTAATTGATTTTGGTTGGCAATGTAGTTTCGATCTTGACTGGTTTCTATGGTCTATTAGCTGCTTTGACTCGAAGGGTGTTGGATCAAAATTGTGTTTTCAACAAAGCTTCTATTCTGGTTGATCGAATTTGAGTCTTTGATGGTATTTATTCTCAAACGAACGAATGCTTTGGTTTCAGTTACGTGAGCTTTAATCTAATTGGTTTGCAGTGACCGTAGCATTATGGGATATTTTTAAAATTTGTCAACAAATTTCGATGATATGTTTTCGTGTTTGTCAAAATCGAAATCACATGGTAAAATTAAAATGTCACTTTGAATGGTGCCAATATCTTTGATCTGATTTAGATGGCCCTGGATTCTTTTGAATTAACTAATAAATGAATTACATGGTCAAAATTTGAAACGAATCTATTTAGCGGGAGGCTTAAATTCTTTTGGCTGTTTCTACATGTAATTTAAGTTTTTATGCCCTATATCTTTCGATTAGCATACGTTTTTAATATCCAAGTTAAAGTGATTTTGAGTTTTAATTTCTTTGATGTCATAATTTTCGATTTTGAGTTTTAATTTCTTTGATGTCATAATTTTAGATTTAATGGAATAACT